CAGATCTCACACTGACCTAGGGCAAATAGGCACTGGGAATCCAGTCTCACACCTGAACCTAGGTGAAATAGCCACTGGGAATCAGTCTCACACTGAACCTAGGTGTGAAATTAGCCACATGGGATCAGTCTCACACCCTGACTAGGTGAAATAGGCCACTGCGAAATCAGTCTCACACTGACCTAGGTGAAATAAGCACTGGGAATCAGTCTAAACACTGGACATAGGTGAAATAGCCACTGGGAATCAGTCTCACCTGACCTAGGTTGAAATAAGCCACTGGGAATCAGTCTCACACTGACCTAGGTGAAATACCACTGGGAATCAGTCTCACATGACCAGGAGAAATAGCCACTGGGAATAGTCTTACACATGACCTAGGGAAATAGCAACTGGGAATCAGTCTACACTGACCTAGGTGTGGGAATCATCTAAACTGACTAGTTAGAAATTTGTCATGTCATTTCCACTGACCTAGTGACTTCATGCCCTGGTCTCTCACTGACCATGTACGCACTTCAGATCAGCTCCCACTACGGTCTAGTGAATAGCAGTGGCACAGTCTCCTCTGCCTAAAGGGATGCACGGACAGCTCACACGACCAGAGAAAGCCCTGATCATCTCACACTGTGGGAGCCCGTGGGACACTCACATGGCAGGGAAGCCAGGGAATAGTACCGACCTGCCTGGTGTATACTGGAATCAGTCGGACATGACTAGGGAAATAGCCCTGGGCACTCATGCTACCCTGGCCAGGAAATACTGGGTCCAGTCTACACTGACCATGAAATCAGCATGATGTCCTGATAGGTGTGGGGCCAGGGCCTCTCCTGGTAGCCACTGTGCATCTGACACGACAGTGTACCACTGGAACAGTCCTGACTGGAGTCCTGGGTAGCAATGTAGGTGAAAAACAGGAACGAATCAGTCTCACACTGACCTAGGAGAAATAGGCACTGGGACTATATCATGAAAATGTGCGTTAGTTAGAAGTTTGGTCAGTCATTTCCACTCACCTCCCAGTCCTTCTGTCCCTTCTTCTTCAGCTGGTCACATTTACGCAGCTTACAGATCTGCTTCCCAATCTTACGGTTCATACAGTTGCTGCAGGTGCCACAGTTCTCCTTCTGCATACAGGGGGCACACACGCCACACCGCCTCCTCTTCTTACCCTGTGGGGCCGCGTGGGGCACTCCATGGGCAGGGGGCCCAAGGGAGAAGAGACCGCCCTGCTGGTGCTCAGTCTGGATATACTCGGAGTGAGGGGAGAGGAGCACCCCTGGGCCCTCCATGGCTACCCTCGGGCCACGCAGAAATATCTGGGTCCCGGTCTCGTCACTGTCCATGGAGAATTCATAGATGTCCTGGAAGGGTGGGGGGCCAGGCCCTCCCTTGGCCCTGTGCATGCTGACAGACAGTCCAGTCTAAAGCCTAGCTGCAGTCCTGGTAGCAATGTGAGGGATAAAAACAGAACAGCAGCAACACAGAGTAGTGTAGTCTAATGGGAGTTCTGGAGTTGGGAAGGTAGTTGTTGTAAGAGCTGAGAAGAGCTGAGAAGGGCTGAGGCGTACGTTACTTCTAGATGCTAGTCTAGTCCATCCTGTCCTGTCAGTCTCCTGGTTGGCCTGCTGGATGAGATTGGTTGTTGGTGATACGGCATCTTTCCCAGCTACCCAGAGGGACAGATAGGGGTCAGCCATAACCACAGCAGGGGAGGAGGTGTGAGAGGAGACATGGTCTGGTCTCGCCTGTCCAGCAGTTGCCTACCTGGTAGCTGTCTGAAAGTGGGAATAGACAGCATGGAGAGAAATATGGAAGAGAGAACAGTTACTTACAATGGACAATAGCAATGTGTGTGTTCCATGTAGGCCAATAAACTGAGAAAATATGAGAATACAAAATTCACCTGTCATTTTCCCCCACACAAATCTATCAATTACTGCTTTACTGGGAAATACATAAATCACACATCATGACAGTTATTAGTAGTCTAGACCTGTCATTAGAAATGGCTGGGTCTGGGGATGCCAGTCTATTTTTATGTTGGCTGACACTCTTTCACAGGCAGATTAAATGCACATGGGTCGATATGGGCCTATTGCGAGTTCTATAATGGCGATCCCTCCCCACGAGGAGGGGGCTTTGTTTGTCCTCTATGAATGAGAAAGGGGGTTTCGTTGATGCCCGCGACGGAGTTCTTTGTTCCGTAGTCAGACTCATTAAACTGAAATGTTTTAACTGTGCGGATAAACCCGCTGTAGCCAAATTGTTTCTCCATGGCAGTAGGCCTACGCTGATGTTGAATCACACTCATGTTGAATCACTGCTGTAGCATCTCGTTTCATATTGTCCAGATACAAAGATACACTCAGAAATGTGTCATTACACTTTCTAATTGAATGTGCTCTGACGAATTATTATTAGGCCGACTAATATATATCGTCAACGTGTCTGAAATTCGAAAGACATGAAGAAGATGCTTTTCCGTTGTGCAAATCCGCAGATGAGGTGAAGTCTTTTCTCGCGCAATAGAGAACCCACTAGTTTCTTTCTTACTTTAGTTTAGCAATATTATCAATCGTCCCAAACATTGTTACAAAGTCGTTATTATTACAACATTAGTCACAACCACTATTCAGACGGATCAGTGTCCGAAATTGCCATTACTAGACCTTGGGACTATCTGTATTTTTATTAAAAAAATGAGTTATTGGCATTGCCTTGTTTGGTTCAATGTTCTCTACCTGTATAGTACTTTAAATAACCCAATTCATGTTGTTAAATTCAAAAGAATACAAGATCAAAATTGCTGACACCATTCAAACCATTCGGGAATGTAAAGCCAATTATGTCAGAATCATCGTTTTGCAAAATGAACCTTATAACGTTAGTCCCAAGCTCTCTGATACAAACCAACCACATGAACATTGACTTCATTCAGTAGGCATGATAGAGACCTAAAAATCTGCATATTGGGTGTCAATCTTCTACATCCAAGCCTAGGCTACATCCAGCCTTATTGTTGTCCAAATAAATAAATAAATACATCTACAACCTTTTTAGTAGGCCTATGCATCATCAACCCAAATATATAGATGTCCAATGAAGTGCCTATGGACAGGTGTGAACAACAGGTATATTAGGACAATATAGGATAAGCCTATATAGGCCTGTGTAACCATGCATACTGAGCGTAAATAAAGGGTGAATTGTGCAATATTTTAGTTTATTTTTGTCTTGTTTGGTTGTGTGCAAAAACCTATACACAACAAAACAGAATGATGCTGGAATGGAAAAATCGTTAGGAAAAAGCCTAAATATAGGCTATCCAATGCCACCTGTTCGCAAATGTAGGTCTAGCCACAAAATTAGACAGTATTTGGCAACCGGAATTAATTAGGCAACTTTCCTGTGAAAGTATTGTGCAGAATCAGATACAATGGAACGTTGCCACAATGCAACACGCGCTCCACTACCCTACTTCCCAAATAAGCACATGGCTTATTCAGCAATTTATACCGGTTGCTTTAACTGGAGGCAAACGCAAGCGCTGCACAAGACTGTTACACAATCCGTTATTATAAACAATGATGGTTATAACTCATGTATTAAACACTTTTTCTATAGTTTATTGAAGTGTCAGTGAAAGGTGTTGGAGAGGAAAAAACATAAAATAAAGACTTTTAAAACATCACCCCAGGTAGCTAATAGACAAGAACAATGATTGAAGGATGAAAGTGAGAAAAACATAAGATAAAACAATACACAATTAGATGGGATCATCACATTTACATAAACCTTATCTGTCAAACAGAACACATAAATCTGTTAAGGCATGTGTGAAGTAACACAACTAATTATGGAGTTTATCAGTGGCCCCAATGTGTATTTGACTAATTGCTTTACTGGTGAGATACTACTCACTTTCACTAGGTGGAATACACATCCATATTTATTTTGACAACAAGCTGTTAGGCTATTGGAAAGGCTGATGGCCATCGAAATGAAATAGAGAAATATCTCAAGAGATGGGATACATACCACGTTTGACGGGTGGGTCTTTAAATGCCTCGATTTTTCACCTTAGATAAAGTTTAAAAAAACAACAAAAAAACAGCATAAACTCCCTCTTCAAAGGCTTAGCTCTAGATATTATTATTGAAAAGTTATTCGAAGGTGAATGATAATAATGAGAAAGGTTGTACAAAAAATTGCAATGGAAAAGTAACATCAAAAGCAACTCAACTCCCAGAATAAAAACAAAATGTAGCCAATAAACTTTCAGAGAAAATGCGCGACTGTCTTAAAACTTATTTGACACAGTTTTTCACTTAGTGACTCGTTGAAGGTCCGAGGTCTGGTTAGAGTTAAAAGACGAAGAGGAGAAGGAAGAAAAGGAGAGCAGAAACGTTGTGGAGGTTAAAGTGATCAGCAAATTACGGAATGGAGTTCGATACAAACAGTGGAACGACAGGGTTAACTCTTCTCCCCATGACGTCATTCTCATCTCAGATAGGACACATTTTTTACGTTTTACACAAACCCTCAATAAAATTTAAACATGAAATGACATCAATTATAAATCATGGGATTACTTTTCAGATGCTAAGAAAACAAATATGAGATGGTCTATGTCCTAATCAAAATTATGATTGGTTTTTGCCATGATGGCATTTTCCACAGCCTAGTCCATAATAGTAATTGGTGTGGGCTATTTGTCTAAACGTTAAGTTTGGAATATCTCTCAAAGATATAATAATTTGAGAGTAATGTTCATTGTAGCCTACCTATGATGTGGGGTAGAAAATAACCACACCCCACAACATTTGTTCATCATTTAGTTCATCAAACCAAAAACATCAAACCTCCCATACATCTTCATAAATGGGCTCTTATAATACTCAATGTGTTTGTTGTTACAGACATGTAGAAAAATGTGGTTCTTTAAGTTGGTAACAGCCAGATCTACACTGACTACATTGTAGTAGTTACAAAGTATCCACTAACTGAGAGGACAAAAATGGACTGGATAATTCAGGGTATATCATATAAATTCTTAAATCTTTAATATCATACCATTGTAAAACTCAGTTTGAATTCATTTGACAGACACACAAAAGCTGTAAACACAAACGCAAACCTTTAACATTCTTGATAGGGTAACCCATCGTTACCATCAAACTGTAGTATGTCAGTCAGTATAGAGAACATACCTACAAAGAGGAAAGCCAGCCAGGCCACTGTGTGTCACAGCTTCAATAACATAATAAAGGGCCAGCATGTTTCATCTTATTGGTCTTTATGGTGGTCTTAAATACAAGCCTCTGTAGAATTCACTATAGAGTAAAAAATATCAATCTGTGCTGCATTATTTAATAGGGCTATACAGTATAAGATTTGGTGCTTGGATCAGGATTTAGTCACTGATCAATCATTGGTCAATAAATAATCATTAAAAAGTAATCAGGAGGGATTAAGGTGGATAAAACTTCAGGTAAGCCACAGCAAGGTGCTCAACATGACACCTTATATGATATAAAGAGAGAAAAGCAGTAACATACTACAACCATTAGATTTGATTTGGAAGGACATGGTTATACATACAGTACTAACTGTTGATAGAACAATGAGTATGGTAGTGCATGATTCAGGGGAAGGGATTTCATGTCACATTCTCAAACTCCAGTGTGTTGACTTCAGTGTTGATGACAGACAGACAAATAAATATGGTTCAGAGGACTTAGAAGAACATTTAAGGAAACGGGGAGTTTTGGAATAAGTGAAGGGAGAAAATACCAAGGGGACAGAGGGATAACATAAGGAATGTAATAGAAGTAGCGCCAGGAGCTTTTCCTGGTCATGTGACCTGACCAGAAGAAACTCTGGGCTGTTGATTATAAGGAATCGATGGAAGCATGAGAAGAGAGGTTCTAGCAGTAGACAGTAGTAACACATCTGAGGGAAGCACACAAACCGTTTTGCCTGCCATTCTCACTCACAAGAGGAACTCAAAGGACAGCAAAGAGCTTGGAAAGAGAACCAGAAATGACATACAACACAGATACCCATTCTACGCCTACTACAAGAGCTGTAGCTACATTGAGACTGGTGGCCACTTAAATAACACATTTGACTGTGCAAACAACTCCATTAAAGAGGCTTTTGTGTGTCGTGTCACATTCTGTAGTAGTTCAGTTAGACAGCAGAGCCCACAGTTTGTGTGGATAAATCCTGAAATGCATTTACACAGGGAATGTACCATAGCCACCCCCTTCCCTATATTTATTCTCCCCCCCCCCCCCTCCTCTCCGTTGTACAGTAGTGGTTGTGGTGCAGAGGCCAGAGAGTGGCGAGCCCAGCCTCTATGTCCGGACCTGGAATTTGCCAGCTTTGGTCATGTACTTGATGCCTTTGAATGGTTTGTACTTCTCCCCGTACATATCCAACCGATTCACCTTCAGTCCTGGAGAAGAACAAGTAAAATCATATAAAAAATTGATTTGGCCACTGCAAGGGAAATAACCTACATGTATATCCCTTTTGGAAACAGATGCAAACCTCTGAGGATCATATAGATTAAATAGAGATTAAGTATCTTGTTTCCATCTAATGGTAAAAGCTGTCACTGTGAATGAGCTGTGTGGATGTCATGTGACTGTCTGCTGAGAATGCTGTGTAATATGGAGTTAGTAGATAGAAGATTAATAAAGATCTGATCTAGGGTTAGATATTTCTTTATTCCCTAAAATGATTACGGCTAAGAATATGGGTAAAGTAAACTGATACTAAATCAGCTGCTAAGTGGCAACTTCTACTCTAGAGTGTAATAACCAATTATGATAAGGTGTCTGTATAATACTAATAATAATAATTTTTGGGGGTGCTTATATTCGTCCTGTTAATGTTTTATTTGCATATCCCAACTCCCCCTGAGACTCCTGCGGGGAGTGGGGTCATGGTCAGAGTCACCATTGTACAGCCCCCCTGGAGCAATTAGGATTAAGGGCCTTGCTCAAGCGCACAGCGACAGATATTTTACCTTGTCGGCTCCGGTATTCGAACCAGCGACCTTTCGGTTACTGGCCCAACACTAACCTCGAGGCTACCTGTCTGTGTGTGCGTGTGTGTGTGTGTTTTACCGGAGAGGGCCGACTGTTGGATCTTGAACTGGATGTTGATGGTAGGGTTCTCGTCTGGCTTGGAGGCCCCTGCCTGCAGGCTCATAGAGCCCTTCAGACTAGGCAGCTTCTGAGGGTTGATCTTACCCACGTCCCACGACAGGAGCTGCATAGGGACAACACAATATCCTCACACAGGGAGAAGGGTATTATTATGAATACACAGAGGTGGGTGGGGGGAGGAATCAACCATCCCACGGAATGTATGATTACATACCCTTCAGTTCACAGCATACACCACAAACTGGTCGGTTAAGTCCATCTCTGCACACACACTCCCTTTCCCACCACCTTACCTTAGTGACAGGGTCGAAGGTGTATGTCCCCTGGGTAGGGTTGAGGTTGGTGTTGAGGACTCCGCGGGGCAGCTGGCTGCTGACCAGAACGGCCTCTACTCCCTTCCCCATGGTCTGCTTGGGGCCCAGGGTAAGCTCAAAGCGGCCCTGAGAACTACCCTCCCTGAATGTGATGTTGTGCTTGACGTACACTGGGATGGCCACCAGACTGAGGGGCAGACACAGAATAACAGCTAGGACAGACACCGAGAGAAAAACATCACAGAGCACACTGAACACAAAGTGTGCGAGTGACTAGTACTGAATAAAACAAGTGAATCATTTTCTGCTCAGATGTCAGTTTGTTACATTGTTATTACAACTTTCAACATTTTAAACTTCTAACTAAAAATGTGGATATATAATGTAAATGTCAGGGCCATACTGGCGTTGGTGCCAAATATTGTTCCTGGGTTTTCCAAAGCAAAACCAGAAGGGATAATAATCCAATCTATAAACACGTACGGTACTGCACTATGTTCCTGACACTATACTACTTACATCTTAAGGCTTTGTCAAATGGATGTTTTGATAATAAAAACATCCATTCAATCATTCATGTAACATCCAACCAAACACAGGTCTTCATCTAGCTAACATTTTAAAACTAGTTTAGGTTTGAGCCACAACTACAATGTCAATTTACTTTGAAATACCTTGTTGACCTTAATGGGTGGAGACTAAAATTAAGACAATAACAAGAAAAAGTAAACATTAAAAAACTGGGAAGCAAGCAGAGGTGTGTGCATGTTATGCCAAAATTGTGGACACCCCTCCAAATTAGTGGAATCGGCTATTTCAGCCACACCCGTTGCTGACAGGTGTATAAAATCGAGCCCACAGCCATGCAATCTCCATTGACAAACATTGGCAGTAGAATGGCCCGTACTGAAGAGCTCAGTGACTTTCACCGTGGCACCGTCATAGGACGCCAACTTTCCAACAAGTCAGTTTGTCAAATTTCTGCACTGCTAGAGCTGTTCTGGTCAACTGTAAGTGTTGTGAAGTGGAAACGTCTAAGAGCAACAATGACTCAGCCGCGAAGTGGTAGGCCACACAAGCTCACAGAATGGGACCGCCGAGTACTGAAGCGCGTAAAAATCATCTGTCCTCGGCTGCAACACTCACTACCGAGATCCAAACTGCCTCTGGAAGCAACGTCAGCACAAGAACTGTTCACTCAGGTTCCCATTATCTAATATTAGGTTTTGGTTGAAGATCTGATAACATTCAGTATAAAACATATGCAAAAGTAGAGAAAATTAGAAAAGGGGGCAAATACTTTTTCACAGTACTGTAACTTGACTACAGGTAAAAGTCAGTAAATTAGAATATTTTGAAAAACTTGATTTATTTCAGTAATTGCATTCAAAAGGTGTAACTTGTACATTATATTTATTCATTGCACACAGACTGATGCATTCAAATGTTTATTTCATTTAATTTTGATGATTTGAAGTGGCAACAAATGAAAATCCAAAATTCCGTGTGTCACAAAATTAGAATATTGTGTAAGGGTTACATTTTGAAGACACCTGGTGCCACAAAATAATCAGCTGATTAACTCAAAACACCTGCAAAGGGCTTTAAATGGTCTCTCAGTCCAGTTCTGAAGCCTACACAAACATGGGGAAGACTTCAGATTTGACAGCTGTCCAAAAGGCGACCATCGACACATTGCACAAGGAGGGAAAGACACAAAAGGTTATTGCAGAAGAGGCTGGCTGTTCTCAGAGCTCTGTGTCCAAACACATTAATAGAGAGGCAAAGGGAAGGAAAAACTGTGGTCAGAAAAAGTGTACAAGCGATAGGGATCACCGCGCCCTAGTCAAGATTGTGAAAAAAAACCCATTCAAAAATGTGGGGGAGATTCACAAGGAGTGGACAGCTGCTGGAGTCAGGGCTTCAAGATCCACCACCAAGAGACGCTTGAAAGACATGGGTTTCAACTGCCGCATACCTCGTGTCAAGCCACTGTTGACCAAGAAACAGCGCGAAAAGCGTCTCACCTGGGCTAAGGAAAAAAAGAGCTGGACTGCTGCTGAGTGGTCTAAAGTCATGTTTTCTGACGAAAGCAAATTTTGCATTTCCTTTGGAAATCGAGGTCCCAGAGTCTGGAGGAAGACAGGAGAGGCACAGGATCCACGTTGCCTGAAGTCTAGTGTAAAGTTTCCACCATCAGTGATGGTTTGGGGTGCCATGTCATCTGCTGGTGTCGGTCCACTCTGTTTCCTGAGATCAAGGGTCAACGCAGCCGTCTACCAGCAAGTTTTAGAGCACTTCATGCTTCCTGCTGCTGACCTGCTCTATGGAGATGGAGATTTCAGGTTCCAACAGGACTTGGCGCCTGCACACAGCGCAAAATCTACCCGTGCCTGGTTTACGGACCATGGTATTTCTGTTCTAAATTGGCCAGCCAACTCCCCTGACCTTAGCCCCATAGAAAATCTGTGGGGTATTGTGAAAAGGAAGATGCAGAATGCCAGACCCAACAACGCAGAAGAGTTGAAGGCCACTATCAGAGCAACCTGGGCTCTCATAACACCTGAGCAGTGCCAGAAACTCATCGACTCCATGCCACGCCGCATTAATGCAGTAATTGAGGCAAAAGGAGCTCCAACCAAGTATTGAGTATTGTACATGCTCATATTTTTCATTTTCATACTTTTCAGTTGGCCAACATTTCTAAAAAATCCCTTTTTTGTATTAGCCTTAAGTAATATTCTAATTTTGTGACACACGGAATTTTGGATTTTCATTTGTTGCCACTTCAAATCATCAAAATTAAATGAAATAAACATTTGAATGCATCAGTCTGTGTGCAATGAATAAATATAATGTACAAGTTACACCTTTTGAATGCAATTACTGAAATAAATCAAGTTTTTCAAAATATTCTAATTTACTGACTTTTACCTGTAAGAAAAACTCAGGCCCCTAGTCATGACATACTGTATGTGTTCATCAATAGTTATATTTATTTACAGATTATTGGCAGCGGGCATTGGCTATGATATGTTTTTAAACTTTGCATTTTAGGGCAGACAGGCAAAAATGTACACTACATGGCCAAAAGTATGTGGACACTTGCTCGTGAAACATCTCATTCCAAAATCATGAGCATCAATATGGAGTTGGTCCCCCCTTTGCTGCTATAACAGCCTCCACTCTACTGGGAAGGCTTTCCACTAGATGTTGGAACATTGCTGCGGGGACTTGCTTCCATTCAGCCACAACAGCATTAGTGAGGTCGGGCACTTATGTTGGGTGATTAGGCCTGGCTCACAGTCGGCATTCCAATTCATCCCAAAGGTGTTCGATGGGGTTTAGGTCAGGGTTCTGTGCAGGCCAGTCAAGTTCTTCCACACCGATCTCAACAAACCATTTCTATATGGACCTCGCTTTGTGCACGGGGGCATTGTCATGCTGAAACAGGAAAGGGCCTTCCCAAAAACGGTTGCCACAAAGTTGGAAGCACAGAATTGTCTAGAATGTCATTGTATGCTGTAGCGTTAAGATTTCCCTTAATTGGAACTAAGGGGCCTAGCCTGAACCATGAAAAACAGCCCCAGACCATTATTCCTCCTCCACCAAACTTTACAGGAGGCACTATGCATTCGGGCAGGTAGCGTTCTCCTGGCATCCACCCAGAATCGTCCATCGGACTGCCAGATGGTGAAGCGTGATTCATCACTCCAGAGAACGTGTTTCCACTGCTCCAATGGCGGCGAGCTTTACACCACTCCAGCTGATGCTTGGCATTGCGCACAGTGTTCTTAGACTTGTGTGCGGCTGCTCGGCCATGGAAATCCATTTCATGAAGCTCCTGATGAACAGTTTTTGTGCTTAAATTGCTTCCAGAGGCAGTTTGGATCTTGGTAGTGAGTGCGCTGTATCAGAGAATTCTACAGAACAATGTCAGGCCATCCATCTGTGAGCTGAAGCTGACGCACAGCTGGGTCATGCAGCAAGACAATGATCCAAAACACACAATCAAGTCTACATGGAAATGGTTAAAAAGCAACAAATTTGAAGTTTTGGACTGGCCTAGTCAAAGTCCAGACCTAATCCCAATTGAGATGTTGTGGCAGGACTTGAAACAAGCAGTTCATGCTTGAAAACCCACAAATGTCGCTGAGTTAAAGCAGGTCTGCATGCAAGAGTGGGCCAAAATTCCTCCACAGTGATGTGAGAGACTGATCAACTACTACAGGAAGCATTTGGTTGCAGTCATTGCAGCTAAAGGTGGTACAACCAGTTATTGAGTGTAAGGGTGCAATTACTTTTTCACACAGAGGAATTGGGTGTTGCATAACTTTGTTAATTAACTAAATTAAATAAGTAACATTTTTTTTGTTATTTGTAAAATCAGGTTCCCTTTATCTAATATTAGGTTTTGGTTGAAGTCAGTATAAAAAAATATGCAAAAATAGAGAAAATCATAAACAGGGCAAATACTTTTTCCAAGGCACTGTATGTGGTATAATACTGTAAAGCCTGAGAAAGCAGAGCAGAAGACTAGAAGAGAACAGAGCTACTGACTTCTGGGAGCTGACGTGGTAGGAGAGCAGCCGGAAGTTTCCGTCTGGGGGAATGAAGGAGAGGATCCTCTCCGCTTCCCAGCGCTTGAACCTCACACACGGGTGGAAGCTCACATCATCCAGCAGACGAGGGTTCTGGTGACAGGATCAAACAGGGGTATCAAGACAGAGAGAAAGAGAGTGGGAGTGACAGAGAAACAGACAGGACCATTTTGACACAGTTATTCAATACAACACAGTTTAAAAACTGTTATCAAGACAGAGAAAGAGGAAGAAAAAGAAACGGACAGGAAATCTACAGTTATATAAAAGATCAAAAATATGAAAAATATGAGTATTTCATACAGGAGAGGCAGAGAGTGATCGGTTATTTTTGCAGGGGACAGAGTGGAGATAAAAATATATATATATATATATATATATATATATATATATATATATATATATATATATATATATATACACACAGTGGGGAAAAAAAGTATTTAGTCAGCCACCAATTGTGCAAGTTCTCCCACTTAAAAAGATGAGAGAGGCCTGTAATTTTCATCATAGGTACACGTCAACTATGACAGACAAAATGAGGAAAAAAAATCCAGAAAATCACATTGTAGGATTTTTTATGAATTTATTTGCACATTATGGTGGAAAATAAGTATTTGGTCAATAACAAAAGTTTCTCAATACTTTGTTATATACCCTTTGTTGGCAATGACACAGGTCAAACGTTTTCTGTAAGTCTTCACAAGGTTTTCACACACTGTTGCTGGTATTTTGGCCCATTCCTCCATGCAGATCTCCTCTAGAGCAGTGATGTTTTGGGGCTGTCGCTGGGCAACACGGACTTTCAACTCCCTCCAAAGATTTTCTATGGGGTTGAGATCTGGAGACTGGCTAGGCCACTACAGGACCTTGAAATGCTTCTTACGAAGCCACTCCTTCATTGCCCGGGCGGTGTGTTTGGGATCATTGTCATGCAGAAAGACCCAGCCACATTTCATCTTCAATGCCCTTGCTGATGGAAGGAGGTTTTCACTCAAAATCTCACGATACATGGCCCCATTCATTCTTTCCTTTACACGGATCAGTCGTCCTGGTCCCTTTGCAGAAAAACAGCCCCAAAGCATGATGTTTCCACCCCCATGCTTCACAGTAGGTATGGTGTTCTTTGGATGCAACTCAGCATTCTTTGTCCTCCAAACACGGCGAGTTGAGTTTTTACCAAAAAGTTCTATTTTGGTTTCATCTGACCATATGACATTCTCCCAATCCTCTTCTGGATCATCCAAATGCACTCTAGCAAACTTCAGACGGGCCTGGACATGTACTGGCTTAAGCAGGGGGACACGTCTGGCACTGCAGGATTTGAGTCCCTGGCGGCGTAGTGCGTTACTGATGGTAGGCTTTGTTACTTTGGTCCCAGCTCTCTGCAGGTCATTCACTAGGTCCCCCCGTGTGGTTCTGGGATTTTTGCTCACCGTTCTTGTGATCATTTTGACCCCACAGGGTGAGATCTTGCGTGGAGCCCCAGATTGAGGGAGATTATCAGTGGTCTTGTATGTCTTCCATTTCCTAATAATTGCTCCCACAGTTGATTTCTTCAAACCAAGCTGCTTACCTATTGCAGATTCAGTCTTCCCAGCCTGGTGCAGGTCTACAATTTTGTTTCTGGTGTCCTTTGACAGGTCTTTGGTCTTGGCCATAGTGCAGTTTGGAGTGTGACTGTTTGAGGTTGTGGACAGGTGTCTTTCATACTGATAACAAGTTCAAACAGGTGCCATTAATACAGGTAATGAGTGGAGGACAGAGGAGCCTCTTAAAGAAGAAGTTACAGGTCTGTGAGAGCCAGAAATCTTGCTTGTTTGTAGGTGACCAAATACTTATTTTCCACCATAATTTGCAAATAAATTCATTAAAAATCCTACAAATGTGATTTTCTGATTTTCTTTTCCTCAATTTGTCTGTCATAGTTGACGTGTACCTATGATGAAAATTACAGGCCTCTCTCATCTTTTTAAGTGGGAGAACTTGCACAATTGGTGGCTGACTAAATACTTTTTTTCCCCACTGTATATATACACTGCTCAAAAAAATAAAGGGAACACTTAAACAACACATCCTAGATCGGAATGAATGAAATAATCTTATTAAATACTTTTTTCTTTACATAGTTGAATGTGCTGACAACACAATCACAGACAAATTATCAATGGAAATCAAATGTATCAACCCATGGAGGTCTGGATTTGGAGTCACCCTCAAAATTAAAGTGGAAAACCACACTACAAGCTGATCCAACTTTGATGTAATGTCCTTAAAACAAGTCAAAATGATGCTCAGTAGTGTGTGTGGCCTCCACGTGCCTGTATGACCTCCCTACAACGCCTGGGCATGCTCCTGATGAGGTGGCGGATGGTCTCCTTAGGGATCTCTTCCCAGACCTGGACTAAAGCATCCGCCAACTCCTGGACAGTCTGTGTAGCAACGTGGCGTTGGTGGATAGAGCGAGACATGATGTCCCAGATGTGCTCAATTGGATTCAGGTCTGGGGAATGGGCGAGACAGTCCATAGCATCAATGCCTTCCTCTTGCAGGAACTGCTGACACACTCCAGCCACATGAGTTCTAGAATTGTCTTGCATTAGGAGGAACCCAGGGCCAACCGCACCAGCATATGGTCTCACAAGGGGTCTGAGGATCTCATCTCGGTACCTAATGGCAGTTAGGCTACCTCTGGCGAGCACATGGAGGGCTGTGCGGCCCCCCAAAGAAATGCCACCCCACACCATGACTGACCCACCGCCAAACCGGTCATGCTGGAGGATGTTGCAGGCAGCAGAACGTTCTCCACGGCGTCTCCAGACTCTGTCACGTCTGTCACGTGCTCAGTGTGAACCTGCTTTCATCTGTGAAGAGCACAGGGCGCCAGTGGCGAATTTGCCAATCTTGGTGTTCTCTGGCAAATGCCAAACGTCCTGCACGGTGTTGGGCTGTAAGCACAACCCCCACCTGTGGACGTCGGGCCCTCATACCACCCTCATGGAGTCTGTTTCTGACCGTTTGAGCAGACACATGCACATTTGTGGCCTGCTGGAGGTCATTTTGCAGGGCTCTGGCAGTGCTCCTCCTGCTCCTCCTTGCACAAAGGCGGAGGTAGCGGTCCTGCTGCTGGGTTGTTGCCCTCCTATGGCCTCCTCCACGTCTCCTGATGTACTGGCCTGTCTCCTGGTAGCGCCTCCATGCTCTGGACACTATGCTGACAGACACAGCATACCTTCTTGCCACAGCTCGCATTGATGTGCCATCCTGGATGAGCTGCACTACCTGAGCCACTTGTGTGGGTTGTAGACTCCGTCTCATGCTACCACTAGAGTGAAAGCACCGCCAGCATTCAAAAGTGACCAAAACATCAACCAGGAAGCATAGGAACTGAGAAGTGGTCTGTGGTCACCACCTGAATAACCACTTCTTTATTGGGGGTGTCTTGCTAATTGCCTATCATTTCCACCTGTTGTCTATTCCATTTGCACAACAGCATGTGACATGTATTGTCAATCAGTGTTGCTTCCTAAGTGGACAGTTTGATTTCACAGAAGTGTGATTAACTTGGAGTTACATTGTGTTGTTTAAGTGTTCCCTTTATTTTTTTGAGCAGTGTATACAGTGGGGAAAAAAAGTATTCGGTCAGCCACCAATTGTGCAAGTTCTCCCACTTAAAAAGATGAGAGAGGCCTGTAATTTTCATCATAGGTACACGTCAACTATGACAGACAAATTGAGAAAAAAAATCCAGAAAATCACATTGTAGGATTTTTAATGAATTTATTTGCAAATTATGGTGGAAAATAAGTATTTGGTCACCTACAAACAAGCAAGATTTCTGGCTCTCACAGACCTGTAACTTCTTCTTTAAGAGGCTCCTCTGTCCTCCACTCGTTACCTGTATTAATGGCACCTGTTTGAACTTGTTATCAGTATAAAAGACACCTGTCCACAACCTCAAACAGTCACACTCCAAACTCCACTATGGCCAAGACCAAAGAGCTGTCAAAGGACACCAGAAACAAAATTGTAGACCTGCACCAGGCTGGGAAGACTGAATCTGCAATAGGTAAGCAGCTTGGTTTGAAGAAATCAACTGTGGGAGCAATTATTAGGAAATGGAAGACATACAAGACCACTGATAATCTCCCTCGATCTAGGGCTCCACGCAAGATCTCATCCCGTGGGGTCAAAATGATCACAAGAACGGTGAGCAAAAATCCCAGAACCACACGGGGGGACCTAGTGAATGACCTGCAGAGAGCTGGGACCAAAGTAACAAAGCCTACCATCAGTAACACACCACGCCACCAGGGACTCAAATCCTGCAGTGCAAGACGTGTCCCCCTGCTTAAGCTAGTACATGTCCAGGCCCGTCTGAAGTTTGCTAGAGTGCATTTGGATGATCCAGAAGAGGATTGGGAGAATGTCATATGGTCAGATGAAACCAAAATAGAACTTTTTGGTAAAAACTCAACTCGTCGTGTTTGGAGGACAAAGAATGCTGAGTTGCATCCAAAGAACACCACACCTACTGTGAAGCATGGGGGTGGAAACATCATGCTTTGGGGCTGTTTTTCTGCAAAGGGACCAGGACGACTGATCCGTGTAAAGGAAAGAATGAATGGGGCCATGTATCGTGAGATTTTGAGTGAAAACCTCCTTCCATCAGCAAGGGCATTGAAGATGAAACGTGGCTGGGTCTTTCAGCATGACAATGATCCCAAACACACCGCCCGGGCAACGAAGGAGTGGCTTCGTAAGAAGCATTTCAAGGTCCTGGAGTGGCCTAGCCATTCTCCACATCTCAACCCCATAGAAAATCTTTGGAGGGAGTTGAAAGTCTGTGTTGCCCAGCGATAGCCCCAAAACATCACTGCTCTAGAGGAGATATGCATGGAGGAATGGGCCAAAATACCAGCAACAGTGTGTGAAAACCTTGTGAAGACTTACAGAAAACGTTTGACCTGTGTCATTGCCAACAAAGGGTATATAACAAAGTATTGAGAAACTTTTGTTATTGACCAAATACTTATTTTCCACCATCATTTGGAAATAAATTCATTAAAAATCCTACAATGTGATTTTCTGGATTTTTTTTTCTCAATTTGTCTGTCATAGTTGATGTGTACCTATGAAGAAAATTACAGGCCTCTCTCATCTTTTTAAGTGGGAGAACTTGCACAATTGGTGGCTGACTAAATACTTTTTTTCCCCACTGTATGTATGTATGCATGCATGCATGTGTGTGTGAACAAATCCAGAATAACGATGAGTGAGAAAGTTAGAGGCATAAATATCACACCCCCCAAAAAAATAACTCTAACCTCCACTGTTATGGGTAATGGTAGGAGGTTTGCATGTTTTTGGGGCATGATACACTATATATACACAAAAGTATGTGGACACCCCTTCAAATGAATGAATTAGGCTATTTCAACCACACCTGTTGCTGACCGGTGTATAAAATCGAGCACACCGCTGTGCAATCTCCATAGACAAACATTAGCAGTAGAATACTCCTGAGTGGCGCAGTGGTCTAAGGCACTGCATCGCAGTGCTAACTGTGCCACTAGAGATCCTGGTTCGAATCCAGGCTCTGTCGCAGCCGGCCGCGACCGGGAGACTCATGGGCGGCGCACAATTGGCCCAGCGTCGTCCAGGGTAGGGGAGGGAATGGCCGGTGGGGATGTAGCTCAGTTGATAGAGCATGGCGTTTGCAATGCCAGGGTTGTGGGTTCGATTCCCACGGGGGGCCAGTATAAAAAAATATGTATTCACTAACTGTAAGTCGCTCTGGATAAGAGCGTCTGCTAAATGACTAAAATGTAAAATGTAAATGTAATGGCCTTACTGAAGAGCTCAGTGACTTTCAACGTGGCACCGTCATATGATGCCACCTTTCCAACAAGTCAGTTCTTAAAATTACTGCCCCGCTAGAGCTGCCCCAGTCAACTGTGTGTGCTGTTATTGTGAAGTGGAAACGTCTAGGAGCAACAACGGCTCAGCTGCAAAGTAGTAGGCCACACAAACTCACAGAACAGGACCGCTGAGTGCTGAAGCGCGTAAAAATTGTCTATCCTTGGTTGCAATACTCACTACCGAGTTCCAAACTGCCTCTGGAAGCAACGCCAGCACAAGAACTGTTCGTCGGAAGCTTAATGAAATGAGTTTCCATGGCCGAGCAGCCTCACACAAGCTGAATATCACCATGCGCAATGCCAAGCATCAGCTGGAGTGGTGTAAAGCTTGCCTCCATTGGACTCTGGAGAGTGGAAACGCGTTCTCTGGAGTGATGAATCACACTTCACCATCTGGCAGTCCGACAGACGATTCTGGGTTTGGCGGAAGTTAGAAGAACACTACCTGCCCTAATGCATAGTGCCAAATGTAAAGTTCAGTGGAAGAGGAATAATGGTCTGGTGCTATTTTTCATGGTTCGGGCTAGGCCCCTTAGTTCCAGTGAAGGGAAATCTTTATGCTACAGCATACAATGGCATTCTAGACGATTCTGTGCTTCCAACTTTGTGGCAACAGTTTGGGGAAGGCCCTTTCCTGTTTCAGCATGACTTGCCCCCGTGCACAAAGCGAGGTCCATACAGAAATGGTTTGTTCGAGATCGGTGTGGAAGAATTTGACTGGCCTGCACAGAGCCCTGACCTCAACCCCATCGAACACCTTTGGGATTAATTGATATGCCGACTGCGAGCCAGGCCTAATCGCCCAACATCAGTGCCCGACCTCACTAATGCTCGTGGCTGAATGGAAGCATGTCCCCGCAGCAATATTCCAACATCTACTGGAAAGCTTTCCCAGAAGAGTAGAGGCTGTTATAGCAGCAAAGGGGGGACCAACTCTATATTAATGCCCATGATTTTGGAATGAGATGTTCGACAAGCATTTTGTCATGTAGTATATTTGTGCATCTGTAATTCCCACTCATCATTATTCATTCATAATTATCCGTAATCATGGTAGCATCCATATTAATGTAGAAGTGTTCAGAAAGATATTCTATTCTTATTTTACAATAAAAGTGATTACAAAATGACACAATACATTATTTACCACCCACTTCGGAGCCAGGCCCAGCCAATCAGAATGAGCGTTTCCCCACAAAAGGGCTTTCTTACGGACAGAAATACTCCTCAGTTTCATCAGCTGCCTGGGTGGCTAGTCTCAGACAATCCCACAGGTGAAGAAGCCGGATGTGGAGGTCCTGGGCTGGCGTGGTTGTACGTGGTCTGCGGTTGTGAGGCCGGTTGGACGTACTAACAAATTCTTTAAAACGACGTTGGAGGCAGCTTATGGTAGAGAAATGAACATTAAATTCTCTGGGAACAGCTCTGGTGGTCATTCCTGCAGTCAGCATGCCAATTGCACGCTCCCTCAAAACTTGAGACATCTGTGGCATTGTGTTGTGTGACAAAAGTGCACATTTTATTGTCCCCAGCACAAGGTCACCTGTGTAATGATCATGCTGTTTAATCAACTTCTTGATATGTCACACCTGTCAGGTGGATGGATTATCTTGGCAAAATAAAAATTATCACTAACAGGGTTATAAACAAATTTGTTCACATTTGAGAGAAATAAGCTTTTTGTGAGTATGGACATTTTCGGGGATATTTTCTTTCAGCTCATGAAACATGGGATCAACACTTTACATGTTGCGTTTATATTTTTGTTCAGTACAGATAGAAAGTATGCAAAAATTATAATGGACCTATATTTTAAAATAACTGCAATTTTTCTGGGCCGTAATGCTTTTGCCAAAACAAATTGCCCCCCCAAAAAATATTTGCGTCACTCCGCTGAAATTTGAAATCCCAATGTGGCCCTCGAGCCAAATTGATTGCCCACCCCTGGGCTAGAGAGAGAGAGAAAGAGAGGACTCACCATGAACGAGAGAGTGAGGTCAGGCATGCCTGTCAGTTTCACACAGGCGTCAATCACCCCTTGGATCTCTGCTGTGATAGTGGAGCCTAACAGTGTATGAGAGAAATAGAGAGAGATGGAGAAAGAGAACGAGTCAATCAGAATGTCAAGTTCTGTGATTCTGTTGTTTTTAATGAGTCAGGACAGATTTTAATGGAGACCATGATGGGGCAGTATGCATACTATACCTGATTTATCGATGATGGCATCAATCTCCTCCACTACATCAAAGTAGGCCTCGTTGTTGGTGTACTTCACTCCAGTGCGTCGCCATGGCACCACGGACAACTGTCCAGTAGGGAGCTGCTCCCCTACATTGGTGCTGCCTACAAACAGAACAGTCAAACATAATGAAAGACAAACAGGATGTATACATTCAGATAGTTGTGTACAGTGACAGGTGTCTAAATGCAAAGTTTAAAAACATATCATAGCCAATGCCCGCTGCCAATAATCTGTAAATAAATATAACTATTGATGAACATTTATATGTCATGACTAGGGGCCTGAGTTTCTTCTGGTCAAGTTGCCTGGTGTAGTACTAGGGTGTTGAGGTTGTTATGGTCAGGAAAAAGTGATGACATAGTGAGGCAGACTTCGTAATGTTCAGGTACCTGTGATGGTGTTGACCACTGTGCGCAGGATGGTGGGCGGCTTGATGAGCTCTTTGAGGATGTTGGACTCTGTGGCCAGGGGAAAACCATTGTCCAGCATCTCCTCTAGCAGCTCGTATACTACCACCACATTGTCCTTGATCGCTGCCTCCGTGCACACCCCAAAGTAGTCCTGACAACAGGGAGGAAGGGAGTTAGAGGCAAGGGAAGGAGGGATCAGTAGAGGGAATGGAGAGTGAGAAGATAAATGACTTACATCATTTAAAAAGTTACAACACTTGGTAACTTAACAATAAGACAATCAGTAACTCAAAGAAACAGATTTTTACATTGCAAGGTAGACCTAGTTGGTGGTGATGAACTGCCTGAACATGTGAAAGCAAATGGATGAAAAGTAACTATACCAAGTCCAAGTACAAACCTGGAATGTATCAACCACCCTGTGTAAGAACTCAATGACAAAGAGTGGTGGCACTTCGCTCTGGATCACTGCCACAAAGTAAATGCTGTGCCTGAGCACACTGATTAGGTAGTGGTGGGGGGTCGGGATGACAGGGGGCACGTTCTCCGGCTCGCTAGCACGCTCTTGCGCCTCGAAAAAGTAGTCGCACACGGAGCGGCTCACAACGCTCTTCCAGTGCTTCTCCAGGAAAATGTCCCCCGAGGAGTTCACGAGGAACAGACTGTGGATCATTTTGGCTGGAGGGTGAAACAGAAAAATAACAAATATTTAGCTAGCGACTCTAAAACGGTTCTAGCTATACCATCCCATGCAGTTGGAATACAATATAATCTGAGTTACACAACGCTTGTGGTACTCTCAATATCTACATACATCTATGAGGAGTGACAATGTAACTTGTAAGGTGGAGAAAGGTATAGGACCGGTCACAGGCGACACCATTTCATTAAATATTCGGCTGTGCTATCAAGTTCCGCCGTGGGCGGCCGTACTATCGGTAGGTTACCTGCATGCACACAAACCTGTGTAATAAGATGACTATAGTTGATGGTAATATATGGTATTTTACTGGAAGATAGGCCTGCCTCTGTTTACGACCTTACAACATCCGTACATCAGACCCCCCCTCCTCACGGTTGTCTTGTGACAGCAGGCGAGCACCGTCATACAGCGATGATGAATACCGAAAACGGAATTATTCATGGTTTGCGCTCAATATTTTAGTGCTATTCCTTACATTTATAACCTCTAATTACTTACCGGTGTTTTCGTCTCGCCTTCGCCTTTTTTCAATGAAAGATTAGAGAAGGCCGTCCCTTATTCTCCGTTAGCTGGCTGAATGACGAGAAATCTGACACCATGCAGGACCAATCGGAGACGGAAAAAAAGCAAGAATGCCCTCGTCTTCCAAATAGTGATTGGTCCATAGCGCGGATGTTCGTGCCTGTCAGTACCACTCGGAACTCAATTGTAATTGGACAGCGCCCAGTAAACACAGGCTGAACATGCACCTTGATTGGCTCAACCGCACGGTCGTGTCTGACATTTTGTGTAAAGACATCGTCCACGGATCGTATCAGATTTCATCTTGTGGATACATTTTGTGGAGACAGTCTATGCATTGGAAATAGAATGGTAAACCATTTACCTAGTTACATTGAAACCACCATGTATCAAATCTAGCAAACCCATAGCCCCTGGGAGGGGTAATATATATATATATATTTTTTTTTTTTAAAGTGTAGGCTATTTGAATATACATGTATATATATAATTTACATAATTTGCCAATAATATGGCAGAGATAAATAGGCCTAGTGTTAAATCAGAATATAATTGGTCCCTTTGATAGTATTTCTATATGAGTCTGTAAATATGATAAATTGGATAATGGACTCACGCTCATATTGAAGATGTAGCAGGTATGTTATCAAGTAGATAGCTGTTTATGGGGGTGATTGCCAATTTTCTTCAAATGGATCCCTTAAATGGAAGCCAAATATGTATTTGCAATCAGTCTGACCTTCTGCCGTCATGGACTGGCTTCTGATCCACTCTTCTGTGCACTGGATCTTATACTGAACAAAAATATAAACGCAACATGTAAAGTGTTGGTCCCATGTTACATGAGCTGAAATCAAATATCCCAGAAATGTTCCATATGCACAAAAAGCTTATTTCTCTCAAATGTTGTGCACATATTTGTTTACATCCCTGTTAGTGAGCATTTCTCCTTTGCCAAGATAATCCATCCACCTGACAGGTGTGGCATGTGAAATCCATAGATTAGGGCCTAATTAATTTATTTCAATTGGCTGATTTTCTTATATGAACTGTAACTCAGTAAAATCATTGAAATTGTTGCATGTTGCGTTTATATTTTTGTTCAGTATATATATATGAGCCAGCTTCACATAGCAATCTTTACAGTCTTTCTATCAGCAAAGAACAAATTAGAATGTAAATCAGAATGAGTTTCTGTTTAAAGTGAGAAAATATCACCCCCAAGGAGCAGCAATTATTATAATTGGTAGAAGTCAGAACAATAGATCAAGAAATACCATGACAACATACATGGCTCAACATAATTTATTTTTGTTTTATGTTAAAATGTACAGAGTTCTTTGAAAGTACTTGCTAAGAAAGAAAAACAAACAAATGGAAATACATACAGGGACAAAGTAGAGAGACCGAGGCAGCAGGGTGCTATCAACCTTCGCTATGCACCCAGCCAGACCCACTTCTCTCTATATCTTGCACGCTCTTAGCTCACAACGCACCATGTACAATTACAAAGGATACAAAAAGGGAAGCGATGTAAACAGACAAATATACTGAGCTCATTTTTACATGCCTCTTAAATGTAAGGAAGTCGTCCTATACACACAAAAAATAATCTAAACAAAAGAAAAGAACGGCTAAGTGACCTTCAGATATGTTTTTTCCTTTTGTTTTAAAATAGCATTAATATACTACACAAAGATAGAAAACTCTAGAGATGAGATGGAATGGAGAGGTTAAAAGGCATCTTAAATTCACTAAAAGTGAGTGGTAATTTTTTTTGTTTTGAATTTCTTAATAATTTTACCTCAAGAGTCGAGCTAAAAAATATGTATAATTTTTTTTCCTGAAACAGAAGTGGAAAAAATGACAGTACCAATATCAATGTCAGAATTTTTCTTTTTTATATTATAGAAAAAACATTCTCTACAATAGGTTTTCTAAAGTCAAAAAGAGTCAGCTTGTGTCATAAAAGAAAGCTGCCCAGTCTGATAAAATTCAGAGAAAATAAAACACAAATAATATATGAAACGTCAGGTCTGTAAGAAAAGTATCCTCATTTTGACTTTGAATACTGGAAAATTGAGACAACTGGGTCAACTCCTCCACCACCGTTCCCATCATAACACAGTAACCATCCAGATGTCTGTGTGTGGGGGGCGAGGCGTACACAATGCACAGTATTTGGCATTGGCCACCTCTCCGTATGCTGATGGTCCATAGAGCGCAGACATCTCTACTAGTCAATGGAAGTGCACTGCAGACTTGCACAGATGAACTAGTTTTAACAGAAAACAGTGTTCAGAGAGGATGCCTTGACCTCTGTTTGTGGGTTACTACCACTTAATGAAGTGGCTCAGCTAATTTCCAACAGCTGGTTTTCCTTAAAAGCAGTGAGTTACTCCACCTGGCAGACCTCATATCTTTTTCCCTGGAAGGTAAACTGCAAGGGATGACAGACATACACCATCAATTGGGTAAAAAGGCCTAATAATAGCCTTCTGTAGAGTGTGGCAAAAAAACATTAGTGCTGCAATGTCTTCTGCCTGCCACTGAGGGGAGACTGGCTGACTGATTGACTGACAATGCTGGACTGTGCTGTGAATCGACAGGAAGTACCAGAATATTTACATCTAAACATTCCAGAACGAACAGCTACAGCATCCTGGGTGGTGCCGAGAACACTACTGGTTTATTTATTTATGGACATACTAATGGACAGTGACCCCTCTCTCCATCATTGTATTATTCTATTCTGGCCTGATACACACCATCCTACCAGGAAGACAGACTCCTAACACGTGTTACTATGTTGTTCTCCACTGAGGCCCCACTGATCTCAACTCTGAGACTGAAGTGCCCCGGCTCACCAACTGGCAATGGAGAAGGTTGTGCGCATGTGCATTTGGGTGTGTGTTTGTGTGTGAGAGAGAGTGATGTCGGAGCTAGAGGGTGAACCACCATTTCAGTATGCCACAACATCAAGACCAAAGCAGAGAGGTTGGACTGCACACAAGTTATTTTTAACGGTTGTCAAAATAAAAACAAAACAACAAAAGTATTCAAAATTATATTTTTTAAAAAGTCCATCTACAATTATAATAGTCTCTTTTTTAAAGGTAAGGCTTCCTATGTCAATTAAAATATTGTGTGCGTGGTTTCATATATTTAGTTAACCACTTCGTTTTTCCTTTCTCAGTTTTGACAATGTAAGGTCCTCCAAAGTCCGTGTTTCAGCCCATCTTCCTCATCCACTCTCCTCCCAGTAAACAGTGGAGGGGAGCCTTCCGTTAGCGTAGAAACCGTGCCAGAGGAGTGTGTCGTGTAGGTCTGACTAGACTAGTGTAGTCTGCCATACAGTACCAGAGGTCCATTTACACGTTATGTATCGCGCCAGCGCACTCCCTACACAGCCAGCTTGGGGGGGGGGGGGGGGGGGGGGGGGGGGATGAGTCCAACTGAATGGAGCAAAATGACACATACAAAACATTGAAAACAGTCTTCCCTCTCTCTCCCTTTACGCTCGCTCTGGCTTTGGAGAGGGTGGATACAACACCAAGTAATACAGTAAAGAGAGGCAACAGCAGAGTCCCTCTCTCCATCAGAGTGTGTCGGGTCAGAGTGTCCCTCCCATCTCTCTAGAGCTGTGGCGTTGTTCTGTGGTGCTCTACTCATCTGCTCATGTAAGGCGACTGTTTGGGGACGCCGGCGTAGCTGTGGTGGGTTGGGCCCGTGTACATCATGTTGCCGTGGTGATTGGGCTGCATAGGCTGCTGCGGGTACCCCTGCCCCCCCATCATGCCCATCTGCATCTGCATGGGGTACTGGGCGGGCTGGTTCATGTAAGGGGGGTTCCCGTGGTAACCGCTGTTCATCATGGGCTGTGGCATGCGGTAGCCGGCCGACATGGCGTTCAGCTGGTTCATGTTCATGGTGTTGTAGCCGGCCGGCGTGGGCATGAGGTTGGGCATCATGCTGCGCTGCACGGCCAGGGTACGGGGCGAGCCCTGCATGGCCACGGACCCAGAGCTGCGGCCGTACAGCTGCTGCTGGTGCGGGGATGGAGCGGGGGCCAGCTGGGCCTTGGAGCGGATGGAGATGTGTCCCTTCACTGTGGCCATCTGGCCCTGCAGCCGCTGGGTGTGAGGCGGGGGAGGAAGGCCGATGTTGCTGGTGGGCATGTTGCACTGCAGCTGCAGGGAGCCCAGGTTCATGGAGCCAGAGCTCAGTTGGGGAGGGGGGGTCATGGTGGCCTGGCCCTGGGTTAAGGGAGGGTGTGGGGAGGGGGAGAGCTGGGCCAGACCAGGGTTAGACAGAGAAACACTGGTGGCGTAGGACGTGACGGAGGCCGAGTGCGAGTAGGGCATGGCGTGGGGGTCCATGATGGTGTTGGTGAGCTGCTGCAGCTTAGCCAGGCTGAACGTGGCCGAGGGCTGGGGGTAACCCCCTGCACCAAAGTCCTGGCCCATCCGCTCGTACAGGCTGCGGCCCCCTCCCTGGGAGGCACTCTCAGGGATCTCCATGATCATGGATGTGGAGCCAAAGCCATTCCCCATACTGCACTGGGACAGGGGCTGCTGCTGCTGGGGCGGGTGGGGGTGGGGGTTTGGAGGGGCTGTGGGCTGGGGGTTGGGAGCCTGCTGCTGCTGCTGTGGTGGCTGCTGCACCTTTTTCTGGGACTGCTGGCTGGTGCTGGGCGGCCTCTCATTAACAAAGCTCTGAGGGGACTTGATGCCTTGGTGGGTGTTGGCAGACGGTGGACGGGGTGGCGGCGGAGGCTGGGGCACACTGTTGTTGCCACCCATGTTGGCTCCCAGACCATTATTGGGCCCTGGCCCAGTCTGTTGGATGAGGCTGCAGCTGCCCATGGCGAGCTGTGATGTCACGGCACCGCTGGGAGACGTGAGACCGGGCGCCGGGACAAAGGAGCAGCTGTTGCCCTGTGAGGAGGGCGTGGCCGAGTTAGAGGAAGAGCCCGCCGCCGACGAGGAAGAGGTCGAGGCGACCGCAGCCGCCACCACCGCATGGTTACCGCTGTTGTTCCCTCCCCCGTTGCCCCCGCTGCCCATGGTGGAGTCGTAGCTGCTGGGATTGTCGTAGTTCTCTGTGGTGCTCTCGATGCTGCCCAGGTCGCTGAATCCACTGTCCACCACCTGCTGGAGTGGTCCGACACAGACGGCACGTCCATCATGGGACTGGTCTCCATGTTCTGCTGGGACGGGGCTGACAGAGAGCTGGGGTGCTCAGGGGTGATCTGGGTGTACCCCCCCTCCTCCTCCTCCCGTTCCCCCAGTAGGGCCTGGCGTGCCCTCTCTCTGCTGCCCCAGCCCAGACTCCATCACCCCTCCTGGGGTCATGCCTGCTGGGCTGTTGACGGAGCGGACTGACTGGCTGGGTAAGGGGGGTATCGGGGGGTTGGTGTGGGGTAGGGGGCTGCTTTGTTGGGAGGCTCCACACTCCTCAACCAGGGACAGGTGGGTCCCCTCCTCTTCGGCCTCCCCGGCGTGGCTGTAGCTCTGCAGGGTGCGGCAGGCGGCCAGCGTCTCCTCACAGTCCTGGTAGGCTCCGTGGGGAGACCGCGTGGCTCTCTGGCTCCTCGTCCTGGGCCTCTCCCTGGGTCTAGACTGGAGCCGCCTGTACCGTCTCCAGTCCAGCTCGTTGCTGTGTGGTTGCTGGCGGTGAATGGGATCCGTGGGTGGTGGGTCAGCTCCTCCTTTAAGGAGTCCGGGGTGCTGGTGGGGTTGCTGGTGGGGAATGCGTGGGTGGGTTGGGGGTGCTGGGGAAATCCATCAGCAGCGTGAACAGCCCTTGGTCCTCGGGTTGCAGAGTCTGCAGCTCCCAGGGGCCTTCGGAGGGGACTGAGATGGTGTTCCCCGTCTCCACCGCCGCGGCCGGCCGCTGCTGACTGCCTCCGCTTCTCGCCGCCTAGCCTCCTCCTTCCCCGCCCTGGGGTTCCTCTTTGACGGGCGGAGAGCAGGCGGGGGAGGCAGGCTCTTCCTCCTCCTCTTCATCTTCCTCTTCCTCAGAGTCCTGGCTCTTCCTCTTCTTACTGCTGCTCTTGTCCTCCAGGTGTCCGTCTCCTTCGTCGTCTGCATCGTGGTCGTCACTGCGTCTGCTCCCCGGGCATGGCATGGCCGCTGTCCTCCTGCTGCTGCTGCCGAGGCTCGCAAACTCCTCATCCTAGTGTAGTCTGCCATACAGTACCAGAGGTCCATTTACACGTTTGTATCGCGCCAGCGCACTCCCTACACAGCCAGCTTGGGGGGGGGGGGGGGGGGGGGGGGGGGGATGAGTCCAACTGAATGGAGCAAAATGACACATACAAAACATTGAAAACAGTCTTCCCTCTCTCCCTTTACGCTCGCTCTGGCTTTGGAGAGGGTGGATACAACACCAAGTAATACAGTAAAGAGAGGCAACAGCAGAGTCCCTCTCTCCATCAGAGTGTGTCGGGTCAGAGTGTCCCTCCCATCTCTCTAGAGCTGTGGCGTTGTTCTGTGGTGCTCTACTCATCTGCTCATGTAAGGCGACTGTTTGGGGACGCCGGCGTAGCTGTGGTGGGTTGGGCCCGTGTACATCATGTTGCCGTGGTGATTGGGCTGCATAGGCTGCTGCGGGTACCCCTGCCCCCCCATCATGCCCATCTGCATCTGCATGGGGTACTGGGCGGGCTGGTTCATGTAAGGGGGGTTCCCGTGGTAACCGCTGTTCATCATGGGCTGTGGCATGCGGTAGCCGGCCGACATGGCGTTCAGCTGGTTCATGTTCATGGTGTTGTAGCCGGCCGGCGTGGGCATGAGGTTGGGCATCATGCTGCGCTGCACGGCCAGGGTACGGGGCGAGCCCTGCATGGCCACGGACCCAGAGCTGCGGCCGTACAGCTGCTGCTGGTGCGGGGATGGAGCGGGGGCCAGCTGGGCCTTGGAGCGGATGGAGATGTGGCCCTTCACTGTGGCCATCTGGCCCTGCAGCCGCTGGGTGTGAGGCGGGGGAGGAAGGCCGATGTTGCTGGTGGGCATGTTGCACTGCAGCTGCAGGGAGCCCAGGTTCATGGAGCCAGAGCTCAGTTGGGGAGGGGGGGTCATGGTGGCCTGGCCCTGGGTTAAGGGAGGGTGTGGGGAGGGGGGAGAGCTGGGCCAGACCAGGGTTAGACAGAGAAACACTGGTGGCGTAGGACGTGACGGAGGCCGAGTGCGAGTAGGGCATGGCGTGGGGGTCCATGATGGTGTTGGTGAGCTGCTGCAGCTTAGCCAGGCTGAACGTGGCCGAGGGCTGGGGGTAACCCCCTGCACCAAAGTCCTGGCCCATCCGCTCGTACAGGCTGCGGCCCCCTCCCTGGGAGGCACTCTCAGGGATCTCCATGATCATGGATGTAGAGCCAAAGCCATTCCCCATACTGCACTGGGACAGGGGCTGCTGCTGCTGGGGAGGGTGGGGGTGGGGGTTTGGAGGGGCTGTGGGCTGGGGGTTGGGAGCCTGCTGCTGCTGCTGTGGTGGCTGCTGCACCTTTTTCTGGGACTGCTGGCTGGTGCTGGGCGGCCTCTCATTAACAAAGCTCTGAGGGGACTTGATGCCTTGGTGGGTGTTGGCAGACGGTGGACGGGGGTGGCGGCGGAGGCTGGGGCACACTGTTGTTGCCACCCATGTTGGCTCCCAGACCATTATTGGGCCCTGGCCCAGTCTGTTGGATGAGGCTGCAGCTGCCCATGGCGAGCTGTGATGTCACGGCACCGCTGGGAGACGTGAGACCGGGCGCCGGGACAAAGGAGCAGCTGTTGCCCTGTGAGGAGGGCGTGGCCGAGTTAGAGGAAGAGCCCGCCGCCGACGAGGAAGAGGTCGAGGCGACCGCAGCCGCCACCACCGCATGGTTACCGCTGTTGTTCCCTCCCCCGTTGCCCCCGCTGCCCATGGTGGAGTCGTAGCTGCTGGGATTGTCGTAGTTCTCTGTGGTGCTCTCGATGCTGCCCAGGTCGCTGAATCCACTGTCCACCACCTGCTGGGAGTGGTCCGACACAGACGGCACGTCCATCATGGGACTGGTCTCCATGTTCTGCTGGGACGGGGCTGACAGAGAGCTGGGGTGCTCAGGGGTGATCTGGGTGTACCCCCCTCCTCCTCCTCCCGTTCCCCCAGTAGGGCCTGGCGTGCCCTCTCTCTGCTGCCCCAGCCCAGACTCCATCACCCCTCCTGGGGTCATGCCTGCTGGGCTGTTGACGGAGCGGACTGACTGGCTGGGTAAGGGGGGTATCGGGGGGTTGGTGTGGGGTAGGGGGCTGCTTTGTTGGGAGGCTCCACACTCCTCAACCAGGGACAGGTGGGTCCCCTCCTCTTCGGCCTCCCCGGCGTGGCTGTAGCTCTGCAGGGTGCGGCAGGCGGCCAGCGTCTCCTCACAGTCCTGGTAGGCTCCGTGGGAGACCGCGTGGCTCTCTGGCTCCTCGTCCTGGGCCTCTCCCTGGGTCAGAGACTGGACCGCCTGTACCGTCTCCAGGTCCAGCTCGTTGCTGTGGTGGTGCTGGCTGTGATGGGATCCGTGGTGGTGGGTCAGCTCCTCCTTGAAGGAGTCGGGGTGCTGGTGGGGGTGCTGGTGGGGATGCGGGTGTGGGTGGGGGTGCTGGGGATCCATCAGCAGCGTGACAGCCTTGTCCTCGGGTTGCAGAGTCTGCAGCTCCAGGGGCTCGGAGGGGACTGAGATGGCTGTCACCGTCTCCACCGCCGCGGCCGCCGCTGCTGACTCCTCCGCTTCTCGCCGCCGCCTCCTCTCGTCCTGTGCTGCGTCCAGCGGCCGGCACTTCACCTCCTGCAGCTCCTCCTCCGCCTCTTCTTCGTCCTCCTCTTCGTCCTCCTCCTGCTTGCTGACGTAGGAGTCTCTGGCCTGCACGCTTCCCTGCATGTCTAAAAAACCTTCCCCGCCCTGGGGTTCCTCTTTGACGGGCGGAGAGCAGGCGGGGGAGGCAGGCTCTTCCTCCTCCTCTTCATCTTCCTCTTCCTCAGAGTCCTGGCTCTTCCTCTTCTTACTGCTGCTCTTGTCCTCCAGGTGTCCGTCTCCTTCGTCGTCTGCATCGTGGTCGTCACTGCGTCTGCTCCCCGGGCATGGCATGGCCGCTGTCCTCCTGCTGCTGCTGCCGAGGCTCGCAAACTCCTCATCCTCGTCTTCTTCCCTGTCGGCCATGTCTCTGTCCGTGTCTGGCCTGCTGGGCTGGGGGGCACTGGGGCCTCCGGTAGAGGACGGGGAGAGCAGGGAGCGGGTCGGTGGACGGCTGGGTTTGTCCTCTACCCAGCCCCTCTCTGTCTCCTCCTCCTCTTCCTCCTCTGGCTCCGAGACCGGGAACGGCTTAGGGACGGGTTGTTGTTGCAGGGCTGGGTTTTTGGGCGGTCGTCCCCGCCTCTTGGGGATCTTCTGCTCTACGGGCTTGGGGTGGTAGTCGTCCTCTTCATCAGAGTCTTTGTGTTTGTCGTTGTCGGTAGCTGTGGCTCTGGAGGCCCTCTTGCAGGCTCTGTCCTCTAGCTGCTGGGGGGGCTTGTCTAGCTGCTGCCCCCCTCCCAGACCCAGCCTCTGTCTCTCTGCCTCCTGCCTCTCGGCCTCCTCCTGGGCCCGCTGTAGGTACCAGCTCTGGGGTTTACGGCCCGGCTTCATCTTGATCTTGGGGGGCGGAGGGTCCCCCGAGGTGGTCAGGCTGGTGTCCCCTGCGTTCTGGTTAGTCCCGCTGCCAGGTGGTCTGACCGGCCATTTCCTCAAGTGCAGGGGCTTGCGGGGCTTGCCCTTGGGCCAGCCTTTTTTCTTCTTGACGGGGGACTCTGGGTTGGCCGCCGGGGTGTCTGCGGAGGCCGTGGGCTCTGGGTTCCGTAGGGAGGCAACTGACTTCAAAACAGGAGTGGATTCTATACGAGAACAGAGCGGGAGAGAAATCCATTGTTACACATACAGATCTACTCAAGCAAGTACTGTATCTCAATGGCTAGCTAACATACAGCTCTGCTCCAACATGTCCTGTACACCAATACCTTGCTATATAAATAACTGCTCTGTTAGCCCTGTGTGCTCCTGTGGACTCACCGTCCTCCTCAGACTCTGTGAGGTTGGCTCGTCTGCCCCTCTTGGGCGTAGGGTCTGTGTGTCGGAGGGCGGAGCGGGCCGGGGGGTAGCGCCTCAGGGGGGTCTCCTCCTCCAGCCGGGGCATGGGCCTCTCAGAGTCGGAGTCCACGAAGTGCTCATCTAGCACCTCGGTGGTCTCTGAGATGGTTTCGGTCACCACGCTGCTGTGGCTGCGCTGATGCATGCGTCTCTTCCTCAACGGTTTCTGGGGAGACATGGAAAAGCTATTGAAATATAATACAGTGAAACGTTGCAAGCAAACAGAAAGTGGGAATTTCTTATTTTGGAAGAGGTTACAACGTTCTCATCATTTGGAGTGACCTGTATCAAGCAGTTCAGCAGATCCACATTCTTTCCATTCACCTTGCATTTGAGCCCCAGGGTGGGCTTTGTGAGGATGGGTGGGGAGTGAGCCCCCGTCTCCTCGTCATCATCATCATCATCATCCTCCTCTTCCTCGCTGCTTTCACTGAAGCAGCTCCGTCTGACCGGCGGTGGGTCGCTGAGCCTGGGCGACAGGGGCAACTGGGGCAGGGCCTCCCCGGACCCCTCACTCAGCCTGCACTTGGGGCCCCTCTTCTTCCTGGGAGGTCTCCCTCTGCTACGTGGGGGTGGAACAACAGATTGCCTGCCAAGCATCTCTAGGGGCCTGATGGTGCCTATAGAATCAGCCTGCTGCCTGTCTGAGGAGAAGAGGGAGGGTGGGCTGCTGCCGAAAGAGGGGCTAGCTTTAGTGCCCTCAGCCCTGTCATCATCATCATCATCATCATCCTGCATCTCCACCCGGATCTTTGGGGGTCGTCCCGGGCCTGGCCGCCTCTCGGCCCGCGGCCCATCCTTCACCTTGCCCCAGGGCCAATTCTTGGGCGGGCGGCCCCTGCCCCGGCGCTCTCCGTTGGCGGAGGGAGGGGGCCGGTGGTCGGGGATGGGCAGAGGGCAGCGGACTGGGGAGGAGGCCGGAGAGCTTTGGCTGGTGGGGAACCCTGGGAAGCACTTTCTCTCCTCCTCTTCCTCTCCTCCTCGGACGAGCCAGGAGAATGGAGACACCTTGTGGCTAGGCTTGATCTGTTGAAAAAAAAAAAGATCTCAATAACTCCTTCATTTACCACTCTAATCTATACAAGTCATTGTTGTAATGTCTTTCATCTAAAAAGGTTTTAGAACCTGAAGCATCATTATCCTCACCTCCTTGCAGATGTCCTCCTCCCCCTCTTCCTCCTCTCCCTCCTCTTCCTCTGACACCACAGTGTTGATGACGATGACGGGGGTCCAGCGGAGACAGTCAGGGTCCACCTCTAGCAGCCGGGGCCTGGCGGTGAGACGAGCCATGTGGGTGGATACCAGCTTCTCCTTACGCACCAGGACTAGCCTACAGGACAGGGGGACAGACACAGGGAAGGTCAGAATGTTGTTCAGACAGATGGGTAAAACTCCACAGGGAGAGAATAACTACTTTGAATAAATGACAGCTCCTAAACAGACGTGTGTTCCATGCTGTAGAATAGTCTTGTCAGCTTTCATTGGCCTTGGTAGTCAGCATGTTGTTGCTAATTTCTACATCGTTGAATTTGTGTTGTCATCATGATTATGGTGTGAGTGCGTGTCTCACCGCTCCCCTCTCTGCTCCAGCATGTTGAGGTGGTGCAGCGAAGCGGTGATGTCCTGCGGACAGATGCCTGTGATCTTGCTGAGGCGTCGGATGGAGAGCTGGCGGTCGCGGACCTCATGGAGACACTCCAGCACCACACTGCGCCAGTAGGCCATGTAGGACAGACGACCCAGGTCTGACAGGGGCTTCTCTGGGGAGCCAGGCTGGCCCTCCCGCTTGGAGAGCAGGTAGCCTGGAGGGGAGAGGAGAGAGAAGGGAGCGGGTTGAGAACAAGGTTCATTTTAAAATCAGTAGGCTATACAAGGTCCATTTACATTGGTGGACAATTCAGTCTATGACTGTTGGTGTATACAATTCAGTCTGACTGTGTTAAATAAATGAATGCTACTATTTCTACCACTACTTGTCCTATTACTACATGATAGTGGTTCAGCTTTCCTCAAAATAACCTCCACCTTCTAAAACATCCAACTCAACCAGCTAAGCAGAGTAGGAAAGGGCCAATGCGGTTTCGATTATTAAGCTCAACAAGGAATTGGACCGGACATTATTCATTACAGGCACTTTGAGTCAGATTCCAACATGTTGCTAGTTCAATTCAATGGGACTGACTGCTATTCCGATGGCATTGACCAATAACTCTACAGCAGCTTAGAACCACTAGTTCGGCATCAATGAGGTCTGGGGAGCGGAGGAAAAGCCTAGCTGAGCCTGAGCGGAGCTCCTTACTGAAGTCGATGAGGAAGCGGCCGTAGCCCTTGCGCTGGTACTGGGGAAGAATCATGATGCAGGACACGTTGTACTTCTGTTGACAGTGTTTCTCCTGGAGAGGGAAAGAGAGAGAGAGAGAGGGGGAGAGTGGAGAGAGAGAGTAGGCATGGAAACGTACTCAGAGCAAGACTGTGCTAGCACATACAGTAGGAGTCTGTGTGTGAGTGTGGTAAGATAATTGCTGTGTTTTGGCAGATTCCAAGAGCACCTGCATCCGTACAGACAGACAGACAGACAGGGGTGAGACAGCATCAAAGCAGCAGTGGTTTCTCTGCATACAGAGGGATTCACTGAAGTAGAATGAAAGTGCGTCTAGACCAGGGCTCTCCAACACTGTTCCCGGAGAGCTACCGTCCAATTGGTTTTCACTTCAACCCTAATCTAGCACAGCCGATTCTAATAATTAGCTGGTTGATAAGCGGAATCAGGTCAGTTACATCGGGTTGGAGCAAAAACCTACAGGAGGGTAGCTCTCCAGGAACAGGGTCGGAGAGGCCTGATGTAGACACTGACCTAAAGACACCGTTTCGTTGAATTTGTGATGGTATCATGATTATGACTGGTAGTGTGTGTGTGTCTCACTGCTCCAGCATTATCAGCTGGTGCAGCGTGGCGGTGATGTTCTGGGAGCAGAGCAAGAGAGTGTGTAGTAAGATAATTGCTGTGTTTTGGCAGCCAGTTAATAAGAGCCCCTGCATCCATACAGACAGACAGACAGACAGGAGTGAGACAGAGAGCATCCATACAGACAGACAGGAGTGAGACAGAGAGCATCCATACAGACAGACAGGAGTGAGACAGAGAGCATCCATACAGACAGACAGGAGTGAGACAGAGAGCATCCATACAGACAGACAGGAGTGAGACAGAGAGCATCCATACAGACAGACAGGAGTGAGACAGAGAGCATCCATACAGACAGACAGGAGTGAGAACCTGAGACAGAGAGCATCCATACAGACAGACAGGAGTGAGACAGAGAGCATCCATACAGACAGACAGGAGTGAGACAGAGAGCATCCATACAGACAGACAGGAGTGAGACAGAGAGCATCCATACAGACAGACAGGAGTGAGACAGAGAGCATCCATACAGACAGACAGGAGTGAGACAGAGAGCATCCATACAGACAGACAGGAGTGAGACAGAGAGCATCCATACAGACAGACAGGAGTGAGACAGAGAGCATCCATACAGACAGACAGGAGTGAGACAGAGAGCATCCATACAGACAGACAGGAGTGAGACAGAGAGCATCCATACAGACAGACAGGAGTGAGACAGAGAGCATCCATACAGACAGACAGGAGTGAGACAGAGAGCATCCATACAGACAGACAGGAGTGAGACAGAGAGCATCCATACAGACAGACAGGAGTGAGACAGAGAGCATCCATACAGACAGACAGGAGTGAGACAGAGAGCATCCATACAGACAGACAGGAGTGAGACAGAGAGCATCCATACAGACAGACAGGAGTGAGACAGAGAGCATCCATACAGACAGACAGGAGTGAGACAGAGAGCATCCATACAGACAGACAGGAGTGAGACAGAGAGCATCCATACAGACAGACAGGAGTGAGACAGAGAGCATCCATACAGACAGACAGGAGTGAGACAGAGAGCATCCATACAGACAGACAGGAGTGAGACAGAGAGCATCCATACAGACAGACAGGAGTGAGACAGAGAGCATCCATACAGACAGACAGGAGTGAGACAGAGAGCATCCATACAGACAGACAGGAGTGAGACAGAGAGCATCCATACAGACAGACAGGAGTGAGACAGAGAGCATCCATACAGACAGACAGGAGTGAGACAGAGAGCATCCATACAGACAGACAGGAGTGAGACAGAGAGCATCCATACAGACAGACAGGAGTGAGACAGAGAGCATCCATACAGACAGACAGGAGTGAGACAGAGAGCATCCATACAGACAGACAGGAGTGAGACAGAGAGCATCCATACAGACAGACAGGAGTGAGACAGAGAGCATCCCATACAGACAGACAGGGTGAGACAGAGAGCATCCATACAGACAGACAGGAGTGAGACAGAGACATCCATACAGAACAGACACGGAGTGAGACAGAGAGCATCCATACAGACAGACAGGAGTGAGACAGAGAGCATCCATACAGACAGACAGGAGTGAGACAGAGAGCATCCATACAGACAGACAGGAGTGAGACAGAGAGCATCCATACAGACAGACATGAGTGAGACAGAGAGCATCCATACAGACAGACGGAGTGAGACAGAGAGCATCCATACAGACAGACAGAGTGAGACGAGAGCATCCATACAGACAGACAGGAGTGAGGACAGAGAGCATCCATACAGACAGACAGGAGTGAGACAGAGAGCATCCATAAGACAGACAGGAGTGAGACGAGAGCATCCATACAGACAGACAGAGTGAGACAGAGAGCATCCATACAGACAGACAGGATTGAGACAGAGAGCATCCATACAGAAGACAGGCAGGTGAGACAGAGAGCATCCATACAGACAGACAGGAGTGAGACAGAGAGCATCCATACAGACAGACAGGAGTGAGACAGAGAGCATCAAAGCAGCAGTGGTTGTTGCTCTGCATACTGAGGTATTCACTAGAGTAAAGACGGTGATCTAAAGACAGTTTTGGCTTTTCCACTCGAACGGTTAAGGTTAGGATTTTGGAATGGTAAGCTGGTCCTAGATCTGTACCTTGGGTTCACCTTGTTGTGTTTACTTATGTACAATGTTCCCAATAAGCTGCGCGCGTACACAGCCATGTACTTCTTCTAGGACTGCCGGGCAGAAGAAATGCTATGCCGCGCAGAGACGCAAGAGATTGAGTTCGCCCCACTAGTTTGCACAATATAGATCAACGTTTTTTCTGTGATCGAATCAACATTATATCAGCCCCTTTTCAATGCAACAAACCAAACCAAATCTAACTTGGCAAAATGAAGTCTGATTTTGTTTTAGGCAGAGCCAAAGCGCAACGGAGTAGAATTCTATTGGCGGGGATAGCCCACAAGTGGTCTTTCAATCACCCGTGAGTGAATGCGCTTTTCAGATCAGAGCCCCACGTGTGCAAAATTGTTGATATTCTTTGCAAGTCAGTGCGTTATTAGCCCAGTTATAGATAAGTGTAGGTCAGCAACGGGGAGTTACTGCTTCCTTCAAGAGCACAAAACATGTAGGCTACATTTCAAGCTGTCTATGAAAAGCCAGTCAGGTAAAAAAAAAAAGCTTATGTCTAAATTAAAGGGGCAGTGTTGTATTTTGAGACAGGCTTGAATATGCAAATAAGCCAATAGGCAGAGGGTAGCCTACATTGTCTAAATCTCTGTATGGTAATAATAATTAATTGTATTTTGTACAACACAATACAATGCAAATTACAGTCAACTATTTGGCCCATGGTGTTACAGACCAAGTAGAAAATCAATAATTAATGTCAAGCCCTTCATAATGTAAAAACATTTTTAAAAGTCTCATGCAATGTAGGCCTGCATTGAACACCACATATAGGCTACACCACATATAAAAGCTATTTCCATGTGAAAATGTTACGGGATTTGCTCCATTGGTTTTGTTGGTAGGCCTACATTATGCTCAAATAGCTACAATAGCCGATTGGCTACTGTCTAAAACTAAGGGTACAGCCTCAGTGTTCACTGTAAATGTGCGCCTGAAGTTACACAAAATTCTCACAACGTTCAAGTTTCCGCTCACAAAACCTACAATTTGCTCAGTGCCCAAAAAATGTGACGGAATGTTGCTTATGCATGCATTTACTTGGATGATTTGGTGGTTAGACGTACCTTGGAGAAGTAGCCCACCAGGTGGCAGCCCTTGCTGTCGTTCTGTGTGAGGACGTAGAAGAGGAAGGGCTCCACGTCGTAGTACAGCGTCTTGTGGTCCAGGAACAGCTTGGCCAACAGACACAGGTTCTGACAGTAGATTGTGCTCACGTTCCCATCCACCTGAGAACACAGCACACACACACAACATGAATGAAATGAATGAAAACCTGTATTGCCCCAAAGGGAATTTGATCTGCACATCATGAGTACAGACAGCAACCACCAAGCTGCCAAGGCAGACATGCACATTTGAATATAACAAATACAAGTACTACACATGAGTTTGACTACAATGATCCAAAAGGGCAGTCTTGAGTGCACCATTCAGCCCATTTCCGAACCGCAATGTCAGTAACTATGAGACAGACACTCATGGGATATGGGAGGGGAGTCGATTGCTTTTATAGTCTCAGACAATGATGCCAATGATGTGAGCCATGGCATCTCTGGTGTCCCAGGCTGGGAGAGAGAGGGGCTCCCTGGCATGCAGCCAGACATCCCAGCTATCCTACTCTGCTGCTGCAGAGGCAGTGAAACCAGAGCTGCAGACGCTATCCTACAAGACAGACAGACGGACATAGACTGACTGCCCCTCAATTAGAGGCCTGCAGTATGTGGCCTACTGGTACAGTGGCTCTCAACCTTCTGTACAGGAACTCAGATGGTTAGCTGACACCAATGTAGTTGGTTCTGAAGTGATAGTTTTAATACAAGCAGTCCCGGGTTCCAGGTACCAAAAAAAACTAGTAGTAGTTGTACTAGACAGCAACCTAGGTACTGTAGCGTCACACAGGGCTGTCTTGTGGGTCAATATTATAACAAGGTGGTTTAGAGAACAGTTGAAGCCTCAGAGGAAATGAGAGTCTTTGACAAGTGCCTGTGTGACACTGCCACTCTTAGCAGAGGAAGTAGAAGGAGCAGTGTGATTTGTGGCAGGGAGGGTGGCCTCGGCCTCATCTCGCTTCCTCCATCTTGTATCCCTCTTTCTGTCTCTCGGTCTGTCTCACCTCGAACACGGAGACGCCGTTCTTCCTGTAGATCTCATTGGCTGGAGGGTGGAACCAAGCACACTTTCTCATGTGCTGGAAGAGGATGCTGCGACTCTTCATGTAGCGCAGGCAGAACTCACACAGGTAGAGCTTAGGCAGTCTGGGACAGGAAAGGAGGGAGAAGATTGAGGGAAAATGGTGAGGACCAAAACAGACATCCATTATACGAACACAAACTAACAGTGGACTGACTCAGAGTGGAGTGTGTGAAAAGTACTGTGGGTCATGTTGTTTGTTTACCTGCTGTACTCTTGCGGGTACGGAGAGGAGTACCAAGTCTGGATCTCAAACTTGCCAAACTCGATGACAGACGGGCAACGCATTTGAGGATCTGGAGGGCCGGTCACCCCAACTTTCTGCAAAGGCAAAAAAATATATATTTTGAAAAAAAGAGAGAGAAAGAGCGAGAGAAAGAGGGGGATGGGGGAGAGAGGGGGATGGGGCAGAGAGCGAGGGGAGCGACAGAGGGAGCGCGAGGGCGAGCGAGAGGGTTCTGTTTTGGAGCTACAGTATCAAGTTAAGGCCAGGTTTGCCAACAGGGGATTAAGAGGAGAGCATGGAGCAGACAGATTACACACCAGGGATTACTGGGCCTCTGACTGCCCCCTGCCTAACCCAGCACGGTGTGTGGTTGTGCCTGACACACACTAGGGCCTGGCACTCAAACACAGCATACACGCGCACACACTTAGTGACAGGAAGACACATACACACACGCTAAGGCACACCCACACAGGCACAGTAAAACAGAAACAAACACACACACACAAACACAGTCTCCTGTGCTGCTCCCTGTCGCCTGCTTATAGGATTATTATTAGTGGAAACTCTAGGCATCTGCCACTGGGTTCTGTTGACACACGCTGGTAACCACACGCTTCCACACACACACACACACACTAGAGGCCCCTCACCCATGCCTACAGTGTCAGGTGTGTGTTTTATCTTTTTCACTGACTGCCATGAAAGGGGAGAGAGGATCCACTCGAAGAGAAATGCAAGCAGTACCAGAATGAGTCTAGTCTACACTATTTGTAAACAAACCACAACACAAAAGGGAAGCCATCAATTATAAAATACAAAGTTGAAATGTTATCGCTGAGCT